GCTCTCTTTTAGGAGCAAACTGGCCACAAATGATAGCTCAACGAAGTGGCTTACGTGGACATTTACTGTATAGCAGCCAAATGCTCTTAACACATGTTGATTATAAATGTGGAGGGGAAAACCGGAGGACCTGGAGAAAAATCCAGGCAATCACGGGGAGAACATGCAAACCCCTAATATACAGCAGGCGTCAGGTTCGGGATTGAACCCACGACCTCTTGTAGACCAGGCGAGGGAGTTAACATCTCACCACTGCGGCGCCCACACGTCTAGGGTCCGCGCGTCTCCGCTCGCAAGGCAAGGGCGCCATGATGTGAAATGTGGCACGTGGCGGTTGGGAGCCGCACGTTGCTGGAGCTTTGCTCGGCACTCAGCCCACGGGGTGCAAACGTGAAACCCGTCATGGCGTCGCACTCCCCTCGAGCCTCCAGCCGGTACTTGAGAGGGGAAATTTGCTATTACATGGACGGAAATGGATTTCAGCTGACACAAGTCTTGGCTTTGACAATCCCCTTTGCAGACACTGATGGAATCCATCAACAGCATCAGAACATCAACAGGCCGATGCACACTTCTCCTTCATGAATGGACAATTAAAATCAAGCCACAGTAGTGCGATTGTGGCCATGATATCCAAACTGTGGACCATATAGTAAGCCCATAGAGACCCATAAAGATACATTAAAGACAAGTCACAATAGTTTGATCCTAACCATGCAACCCAAACTATAGTAAAGCACTGTAGTCTGCACTCCTTCAAATGAGGATTAGCAAAACCACATTAACTCTCTCCTGAAGACCTCTTGTCACGGCTAGCAGAATACAGCAATGGCATTTAGCTCTCGAGCACATTGCCATCGTGAGCGAGATGAGACAGAATAGAATGTTCCTTTTTTTAATATAACCAATCAAAAAACGATACTCGATAGTTTTTGTTGTTGTTAAAAGCACGTTCCTTCAACAGAACACTCCCTCACGACGAGCGGAGGTCTCCCGAGACCGTTCACGATTGATAACAATCAACGGGGGCACACTTGCCTGATCTATAAGTGCGACATTAATTGGAGAGGTTCGCAATGCCGCGCCTCCCGGAGGGGGACCTTCAAAATAAGCGGCAGCAGGGCACGCACGAGGCCACTCCTATATCCGTGCGCGCCGGCGTCTAAATGGACAACTTTCCATTTCAGCCGGCGAGCGGAGGGTCAGGGGAAATCCCCGTTGCAAGTCGGAGGCGGCGAGCGAGAGTGGACATTTTCAGAAGAAACAAAGCAAGCTGCCCCTTCACCTTGGCGGGCGGATTCGTCTCCCTAAACCGCCCCCCCCCACCCCCCTATTTTTTTTGGATGGCGCCGCCGCGATTCTGAACGGGCACCCAAACCCGGGCAGCTAAAAAGAGAAAACACGCTCAAGGACCGGCGGTCGTTTCTCGCAGGCGAGGCTCGTTTTTTTTTACCGCGCGCAAACTCCACACTCGGTTGCCTTCAATGGGGGATTGATCGACGTCGCTTTAAAACAGCCCCGCTGCCCGATAAGCGAAGCGAGTCAATTAAAAGAGGGGCCCTTTTGAGGTCAGATTGCTTTGACGCAGATCCGTCGGGCAAAATGCTCTCGCACAGAGCTTTCATTTCCAGCTGTTGAATTAAAACAAAGCAAGCAGTGACTCCTCGCAAACAGCGTGCGAAGACGAATGTCAATTAGAAATTTAATTTGTCGTCAATTTACTCTTTTAAATTCGCTTCTAGATGAGCTGCCCTCCAAATTGCTGTGTTTTATACATTTAACATTTAACAGGGATGAAAGAATGCGTCAAGATTCAGTGATCTAAATTGATTTTACCGCTCACAACACTTGGCTTTAGCCACTTATGCCGAGCCTGTTTCTCTGAAGCAACTGTCCCAAGAGGGCCAAACAGGTCTGGGCCACGACCACCTTTCTGTCCGTCAGCCTGCCCACTGCCGCCAAAACTCCTCAGCTTCGTCCCGAACAGGACTCTTCAGAAAGCCAAGCCAGCTCCTGAAGCAGCTTCCCAGCTCGCGGTGCGAAATGTCGGACGCCATTCTTAACGACATTCGGTAAAATCTCACAAACACATGAGAGACCTCCACCTTCCGATATTCGAAAGCCACTGGAGTTGTGCACTTTTAAATCATCGAGATTGAAAACTCGTTTATTTAGAACTGCTTTTTGTGTTTCGTTTGTTGTCCTTCCCCCGCATCTCCGATTAGCGCGATTGGCTGCGTATGGCGTGCGAAAGAAATTCAACATATGCGCACATGTGCATACAGTGAGGGGAAAAAGTATTTGATCCCCTGCTGACTTTGTACGTTTGCCCACTGACGAAGAAATGATCAGTCTATAATTTTAATGGTGGGTTTATTTGAACAGTGAGAGACAGAATAACAACAACAAAATCAAGAAAAACGCATGTCAAAAATGTTATAAATTGATTTGCATTTTAATGAGGGAAATAAGTATTTAACCCCCTCTCAATCAGAGAGATTTCTGGCTCCCAAGTGTATTTTATACAGGTAACGAGCTGAAATGAGAAGCACACTCTTAAGGGAGTGCTCCTAATCTCAGCTTGTTACCTGTATAAAAGACACCTGTCCACAGAAGCAATCAATCAATCACATTCCAAACTCTCCACCATGGCCAAGACCAAAGAGCTCTCCAAGGATGTCAGGGACAAGATTGTAGACCTACACAAGGCTGGAATGGGCTACAAGACCATTGCCAAGCAGCTTGGTGAGAAGGTGACAACAGTTGGTGCAATTATTCGCAAATGGGAAAAACACAAAAGAACTGTCAATCTCCCTCGGCCTGGGGCTCCATGCAAGATCTCACCTCGTGGAGTTACAATGATCATGAGAACGGAATCAGCCTAGAACTACACGGGAGGATCTTGTCAATGATCTCAAGGCAGCAGGGACCATAGTCACCAAGAAAACAATTGGTAATACACTACGCCGTGAAGGACTGAAACCCTGCAGCGCCCGCAAGGTCCCCCTGCTCAAGAAAGCACATATACATGCCCGTCTGAAGTTTGCCAATGAACATCTAAATGATTTAGGGGACAACTGGGTGAAAGTGTTGTGGTCAGATGAGACCTAAATGGAGCTCTTTGGCATCAACTCAACTCGCCGTGTTTAAACATTATGCTTTGGGGGTGTTTTTCTGCTAAGGGGACAGGACAACTTCACCACATCAAAGGGACGATGGACGGGGTCATGTACCGTCAAATCTTGGGTGAGAACCTCCTTCCCTCAGCCAGGGCATTGAAAATGGGTCGTGGATGGGTATTCAAGCATGACAATGACCCAAAACACACGGCCAAGGCAACAAAGGAGTGGATCAAGAAGAAGCACATTAAGGTCCTGGAGTGACCTAGCCAGTCTCCAGACCTTAATCCCATAGAAAATATGTGGAGGGAGCTGAAGGTTCGAGTTGTCAAACGTCAGCCTCGAAACCTTAATGACTTGGAGAAGATCTGCAAAGAGAAGTGGGACAAAATCCATCCTGAGATGTGTGCAAACCTGGTGGCCAACTCCAAGAAACGTCTGACCTCTGTGATTGCCAACAAGGGTTTTACCACCAAGTACTAAGTCATGTTTTGCAGAGGGGTCAAATACTTATTTCTCTCATTAAAATGCAAATCAATTTATAACATTTTTGGCATGCATTTTTCTTAATTTTGTTGTTGTTATTCTGTCTCTCACTGTTCAAATAAACCTACCATTAAAATTATAGACGGATCATTTATTTGTCAGTGGGCAAACGTACAAAATCAGCAGGGGATCAAATACTTTTTTCCCTCACTGTATATGGCGTGGCTCAAAAGTCAAGGACACGTAGCGTTATTTCATTTATTTTAACGCATTTTTCATTGTTTATTTTGCAAGTTATTATTTCATCTTGGATCATATTAACATCTATTTTTCTTCGTCCTTTTCAGACGACATGTACAAAACCCGATCAACATACAGCGCCTTGGTTACGGCGGTACATACATTACATCAAGATAAGATACAAACTGAATTGGAAGCCTGTTACCTTCTCAGATGGACCTGTGCAAGAAGGTATCCGTCGAGTCTCCCTCCCGAACCTCACGCGTGACACGGCACGATGATTATCTTGAACCCCCATCGGGAGAATTAACTTTGCAAAGCCTTCTCAGGTCTAACGTTTTCTCTGAACCCACTGGATGGCACTGTAAACGTACAGAGATCTGTGAGAAAAATCTCCATCCCCGTTCTGATACGAGGGCAGTCGAGGCCGCCTCGATCTCCAGAAGTCTTTGCACTTCACTTAAGGAGGTTTCCTTCAGACGGCGGTCTCAAGAGAACTCCGACTTCTTTTTTTCCTGTGATAGCTGCCCGTGAGGCCACGTTGATACATTTTTCAATGGGGCTTCCCGGCCATGGTACACCATACACGTGCTTTCTTGTGTTCATGTTCATCTTCAAAGAACACCGCCACCGATGATTGATGCCCACAAAGCAGATGAAATCCTCACTTGCTGTTATCTTATCCGTATGCCTGGGCTTCCTGCATCAAAGTGCATTTGCAGAGCGGGAATTGAGATGTTGTGCAGAATCTAGGTTAGTGCGCGCTTGCCACTGAACCAGTTAAAAAGCCGAGTTCAGCTCTCATAGCCACGTGGGGCTTCCATGGGGAATTGATGGTGCTTCTGCTGCTGACATGGACGTGAAAGAAAACGTGGTATTTTTCACATTTCGTGTGCTTTCAGATGCGCAGCTGCGGCCGTCTGGAATGCTCCTCCTTCTGATATTCGGAAGCCACTGGAACTATGCACTGTTCAATCATCTAGAATGAAAACTCATTTCTGTAGAATTGCTTTCAGTGTTTAGTTTATTGTCCTTCCCCTGCACCTCCGATTAGCACGGTTGGCTACATACGGCGCGAAAAAGGTTAAAAATACATACATGGTACGGTGTGTTTTGACATATCCGTGTCTGCCAATGCAGCAGGCGTCCACTCACCCTCAGACGTCCGAACTCACAGGCCAGGTCGAGGGGCGTCTTATTGTTGTTGTTGACGATGCAGGGGTTGGCCTGGTGTTGCAACAGCAGCTCGGACTGTGAGAGAAAACAATGGGTGTGGGGGAGGATGAGAGACGAATGGGGAGTGGGGTTGGGAGGGGGGCAAAGGTAAGAGAGAGGCAAATGATGGCAAAAGTTACACTTCAGCAGCGTTGACATCAGCGGTGGTGGCACGTGTCTGGCCTCAAATGATAAAGGTCGGCCTCCGCTGACTTTGGAGATGTGTGGAAGGGATGTGTGCCATCGACGCGGACTCACATCGCATAGGAAAGGGCAGCAGAAGTCAGTAACCAGAAAACACTGACCAGAGAGCCCCGGTGGAGGATCTTTGATCTTTGACCCGCTCTTGCGCATGATGCACACGCAGTGTAATAACTGTATTCGTCGCAGAATGTAATTATCCAAGTGGACAACGTCATAGCGGAAGAGAGTGCTTCGTCAATTCGTTGCTGGTTCAGCCATGTGTGCTCTGTTGCTTTTATGACTCATGTCCTCACTTCAAAATAGAGACGTTTATAGTGTCAGTGGTTATACTGATCACCGACCTATCAAACAGGATTCGTGGCTCTGCCATGCGAGGCATTTGGACTTGCAGCCCAGAGCTCCGACCGAGAGGGCGCGTGGATAATAAACATCGGGCCTCGTGCCAAACAACAAGCGGTAACAACCCGCGGACACATCGGAAGGGCCCCGCAGGACCCGGTGTCCTGTGGATCACACGCTCGGAAGTGCATTTGGCTGGCTTCATACACCTCGCGGCACCTCTATCGAGCACACGGCACCGCACCCTAAAGCGGCAGTGTGCTTCGTTCCTGTGTTTACCTGCAAGCAAGGAAAATCGTGCCACTTCCAGTTCTCGTGCTCATTGCTGCAATGCGTTAATCGGCAAGCAAGCAAGCAAAGTAAGCAGTTGAACGTATTGGCGGTACACTGGTGCGTTCAACTGCTTCCCGCGATTCGCAACCACTGTCCAAAAATCTTGCAGGGTGGTGGTGGTGCGTCAAAATCAGTTCTCGTGATGTCGAAGCAGTCGGAAGACGAATGTTCGTTAAAATGTTGATTTTAGACTGTTGTATGAGGACCGGTGTGCTACGCTGCACCGGTGTACCGCCAATACATCCGTTTGCTTTTAGGTGTGCCGTGCATTCACGACCCGTGTGGGCAGCCCAGCCGCATCAATCTCAACTGGTACGGCGGAGCGCTAACATATATCGCCGCGCCGCCAGTGAAGAAAACACACCGGGGCTACCATGATGGATTTAAAGCGGCGCTTAATGTCCTTGGTGAAAACGAGCTTCTTTTTTTTCCTGCGATAATTGCCTGCACCTGTCAGCACGATAGACACCTTTAAATGGCAAATATACATTTACATTTTTTTCCGCAGAAACAAGAGCTAGGGGTAATTAATTTGGTTGCGTGGCACGTCTGCATTCAGCGGGATTACCATTCCGTGAGGTGAAAGGGGACCTTTGGAAAAGCTTTTAGCGCACACAGTATTTGATTGTGATGGGGAAGGTGGGGTGATGCAAGAGGGGCCTGAGTTCAATTGCCAACTCAGGCACCTCTGGAGTTTGTACATTCTCCCCCCTATTTTAAATGAAGCCATTTTTATTTCACCAGGCAAGGCCCACCGAGCTATGAAGCTGTTTTTCAGAAATGATCTGGCCACAAATGCAAGCTCAACGAAGTGAATTATCACCATGTGGAAATGTCTAGCTTGCAAACACTTTAAACGCGTAGTGACGTTGATTCTAAAAGTGGAGGGAAAAAAAACAGACGACCGGAAGAAAAATCCACGCCACCACGGGGAGAACATGCAAACTCCAAATATACAGGCGTCAGGGTCGGGATGGAACCCACGAACTCCTGTACACCAGGTAAAGTAGTAGTTAATGTCTCGCCACCGTGGCACCCCTAATTACTTAAATTGGATGACAAATAGCAAATGTCGACCCCCGACTGTGAAAACTTGAGGATTTCCTGGGCAAACAAGCACAATGATAATGACAATACTACGTGATAAATGCTCAACAAAGGCGCTTGCTAACCACAGCAAGCACACAATGAAGGCCACGTGATCAATGTTATTTAGCAGTAATACAGGAGGAGTGTGCACCAGAACTATAACTGGAGCGGGAGCTGTGGTGCATTGGTCAGCACACCGAGTTAGGGTGTTACCCTAACAAACACCTGTCACCGCTTTAACGATGCACAGCAGTTAAACACATTCGCTGCATTTTGACACTGAGGGGGAAGAAAATAATCTGAATGTAGCTTGAGGGACACGCTGTTAATTAAAGTAACGTGATATTGCAGCGTTCGGTGCCCTCCAATTTTACACGTAACAAAAAAAATAATTAGTTGCTTGCAGAGATTAAAACCCAGGCATTTGTGAGCGGTATTATAATTTTTTTTGGGAACAAAAGCACAAAAATGTTCTCGGTATGAAAACGCAGCGGTGTGTGTGTGTGGGGGGGGGTGATGCAGTCTCACTTCACGAGGCAAAGCGCTCAGCGTTCTCAATGATCGATTTTCCTTTGAGTGGCCCTTAAGCTAATGCAGCGCGTGTGCTTCAACTTGATCGTTATCAACGAAGAATCTTAACTCCTTTGGCACATGAACATCCTCTCAATCTGCAGGTCCTTTTACAACTGGGGCCGAGATTTGTTTTGTTTTTATTGTCGCTGCTGCCGCTGACTGGGGTTTCGTTTTCCAGCGCCGCCTGCTCAGCTGCTGCCGCTGCCGCGACACAACGGTTCGCAATCCGGAGGTCTCCTCGGTTCGAATTCGATTCACCGGTGCGGCAGTTGCGAGAATGGCGCAAAAGTTGAATAAGTCGGCGCCCTCCCCACCACCCCCAACTCCATGCAACCAGCATTATAAATGGATCCACCACAGCTAGTTGATCGGCAGACTGCATGCGGTGGGGTAAAGCGATGGGCACTCCGACCTCTTTCAAGACATCTGGCAAGTCGGCCGAATAATCTATCAACAGGGGCTCTCTGTAGCTCCCTTTAGTGGAGGTCCTTCTGCCAGCAGTGGCGTGAGCGAGCAGCTGTAGGGCACAGTGTGTGCATCAGTGCAAGTGCGCTGCCAGTGACACTTCACGATGCCATGCTAACAGCCCTTGCTGTTGAGCAACGCTAATTTCAGAGTGAACATGTACGTGCCATTTTATTTTGCCGATCCGTAGTATGAGAGCTGCGAAACTACTCCTTTGTTGCAGCCTGGAGTTAAGGAGGCATTAATTATTGCACCCCGGCACGCTTGCAATAAGCAACTTTTATCCTCTCGCAAATCGTGGCAATGCAGCGGCAAGTGATCGTTTGCGCGCCATAGAACGAGGAATCTGAGCACCTGCCAAATGGAGAGGCAGCACGTTGAGCGCACTGGGTGTGCAACGTAGGGGTGCACGTGGGGGTACACGTGGGGGTGCACGTGGGGGTGCACGTGGGGGTGCACGTAGGGGTGCACGTGGGGGTGCACGTAGGGGTGCACGTGGGGGTGCACGTGGGGGTGCACGTGGGGGTGCACGTGAGGGTGCACGTGGGGGTGCACGTGGGGGTGCACGTGAGGGTGCACGTAAGGGTGCACGTGGGGGTGCACGTGGGGGTGCACGTGGGGGTGCACGTGAGGGTGCACGTGGGGGTTCACGTAGGAGTGCACGTGGGGGTGCACGTGGGGGTTCACGTAGGAGTGCACGTGGGGGTGCACGTGGGGGTTCACGTAGGAGTGCACGTGGGGGTGCACGTGGGGGTGCACGTGGGGGTGCACGTTGCAGTGGCGCAGCTATCGAGGGAGCAGGCGGCGCAACCGCGTCAGGGCACGCGGGGCTGCGCTGAGCAAGGTGGGGTAATTGTAGTGGGCCCCATTTCATTAATTGCTACCAGAGTCCGTGCCAAAGGATGACCCTTTGGCGATGCACACGAACCGCCTTGGGCGAATGATAGCGGAAATGAAATGGGGTGGCGGTTGAATGAGATGTGTTTAATCGACCCACCACAGTTTGTGTTTCAATATTAATAACATCTGTGAATTCATTCACAGTCCTTTGTGAATCCACTGTAGCATTAAGGCCTCCTCATGAATTATCAGTAATGTGGGGGGGAGAGGGGGAGGTGTTTGACTTTACATCACCAAACTGTTCACTGTGGATTGGTGAATGCGGACTGAGGAGGACTGGCTTCAGAGAGGGCGCTCGCCACCGATGTCAGGATGGTCAAAAATTGAAACCCAGGTCGCACTGGGTTCATGGCGAAATATGCCAACCACCGTGCCACCACCGCTCCACCCTCTTTCAATGGTAACATTTTACGATTAGAGTCGACCGCACCGTGTTACTTGTGAGTTATAATTGATCGTGCATTACTTGCAGGATGGGAGTCACATCGCACGGTGGATTCCCTGGCAATGATCGCCGTGCTGCTGACGTGAGGGCAACGGAGGCCCCTTTGCCCTCATCCTGCCCCGCACGGTTGCCCCGAGGCAGAATGTTACATTCAGAAGCAACGTCACGTGTTTATAGAGTATTTGGCTGCTATGAATGTCCACGTGATAAGCCACTTCGTTGAGCTAGCATTTTTGGGCCAGGTCGCTTCTGAAAAAGAGCTGCATAGCTCTATGGGCTTTCGCTGCTAAAATGAAAAAAATATATAGTTAATATTCTTGGTTCTTTCGGTAAAGTCACGTAGAAGGGAAACAATAAAATAATAAAAATATAAAACAATAAAATTCTCACGACGTTTCAACTGCAACACAAGCAATCATCAGGTGTGAAAACTACAACAAGAACATTTTCATGTTGTGGTTTATTGTTTTATATTTTTATTATTTTATTGTTTCCCTTCTACGTGACTTTACCGAAAGAACCAAGAATATGAATCCCTGCAGTCACGAAAGCTTTAAATCAAAATATATAGTTCAGTTTTAGTTTAGTTTTGTAAGAAGATATTTTTAATTGGATATTTTATTTAAACGGAAGTCTTCAGAAACACTGACTCGGACACACTACAGTAGGAGGCACTATATTTATTACAGCCCTCACAGGTACGAGAGGCAACTACACTATGGCCAGGACAGCTAACAGACTGGCTGACCAACAACACCGACGAGGTGAAGACGGTGACGAGGACCCCGGCAGCACGACGACGGTTCCACTCCCAACCACCAGCCCCCAACCTTCGCTCAGGGTCCCCCTTCTATCCACCTAGCGTGCCCCCCACCCCCCTCCGCCTTTGGCCACGCCCCCCTTCTAGAACTCACGAGAAGGTTCCCGGGCTTTACCACTTGCCTCGCATTCCCTCTGTGCCAGCAACCAGCGCTAAGTGCGATGGTGACGCATTCCCTGTCACTACATCTCTATGGAAGTGAGCTCTTAATTACGCCCTGCGGCAGACACCTTATCCGCCCACGGTACAGGCATCCGCTGCACTTTGGGAAAGAGCAGCTCATCTCCACAACGCATGCGGTATACGCTGCGATGTGTACCTCAAGCTTATTTAAGCTGACGCATTGGAGTAATGATAAATATGAACCATTTTAAGTGACTGCCGCGGCAGCGGCACGTAAGCACAAATCAAGGGAAAAAAAATCACCGCCTTTGTCATTAACACAGTCTTTTAGCAGGAATATATTGGGATATATTAAAATATATACAGCTGGCTCATGTTTCAGGCAATTATCTCTGGCCTGACGCTTTATGTTACGATGCAAGGGATGGCGGCAGTGAGGATGAAATCAAAGAGTTTGGTGGGCATGGCTGGAAATGAACATACCAAGGAAAGGAAAGAATGGAGGAAATATTTGGGGGAGGTCTCTTACCCAGCACAGTGGGAAAGTTTCAGGCTGACAACAGCCTACCCATATAAAATAGGTTTTTTGGGTTAGATCGCGAAATATATAAATGTGCCCTTAAACCCGCCACCACCCGACACAGCCAACTAGTAAGGGTTGTCACGTAAACAGAAAGTGGCCAATTCGTCACTAGTACAGCACTAGTGTATAGTGTAGTGTATAGTAGTGTAGTGTATAGTGTAGTGTATAGTAGTGTAGTGTAGAGTAGTGTAGAGTAGTGTATAGTGTATAGTGTAGTTTACTAGTACAGCACTAACCGGTTGTGTGTTGGAGAGCCATGCCACAACATTTACAATCTGAGTACGACGTTTCGCCAGTAATTACAACCAGCATCATCAGGAGGCAGCCAGATTTGTGGAGAAGTCTTACTCCTGATTTGAAGCTTTCGTGACTGCAGGAATCCATACTCTTTGGTTCTTTCGGTAAAGTCACGTAGGCAGGCATAAAACAAAATAAATCACGACGTTTCGAACGCAACACGAGCGTTCGCCTTCAGGTGAAAATCGCCTGCAGACATCTCGCAGCAGACATCGCGGCTATCGCGATTTTCACCAAGAAGACGAACGCTCGCGTTGCGTTCGAAACGTCGTGATTTATTTTGTTTTATTTCTGCCTACGTGACTTTACCGATAAAACCAAAGGGTAGAGAGAAGTCTTACTGTTTCGTTCCTTATATAGAGGCAGAGATGTGTTGATCACGCAGCTGCGCTCTTGCACAATGTGGGGGGGAGATTAAAATAGGCGTACCAACAATACTCCCTATTGGATGATATTGGTCGCGAAATCCTACGTGTTAAAGCCTACCTATACTTAACACATAACACAAAATAATTACGAGGGTACATGTGGAGGAGAATATAAGAAATAGTTGTGCTCAGCATTACATGAATTTTCGCCAAACGAAGACCCATATCTTAAAGAGGGGGTCCTTGCTTTTATTATTATTATTATCTGGACGGTTCACCAGCATTGATTCAAGTGAGCCTGACTCGACTGATGAAACCGGTCCAGAGTGTTGCGTGCATTGAATCAATACTGCTGAAATGATGCACTTCCAGGAGACCGCGGGGCATATGACAGGCGAATGAAAATAGATATATTGACTGCTTATTTACATTTTCAAATATATACTTTTTGGGCTGATAGTGTGAATGACACAAGTGATGTATTTTATCATTCGTGATAACAACAGCAACAACAACATACATTATTATTTCTTCTCTGAAGACAACATTGCACCCTAAATTCCCTGAGGCACTGGCAGCAACACCGTGTTGGAGACACGAGGATCAGTGACTTCGTGTCGCCTGTCTGCGTTAACTCGCAAATGAAACATTTTGCGATCATTTTATTTCTTAATTCTGCAAGCACTGACTGCGGTGGAGGGGTCGCACTATAGACCCCAGCAACCCCGGTTGAATTCCCAGCCGTGGTTACCATCGGTGGTGAATGAGATCTAAACCAGCACACTGACCAAGATTGGTGAAGTATGGTTAAACAACCCCTCCATTATTGACAAGCTACGGGGAGGCCTTCGTAAAACAGTGAATTCGTTACATTACTTTATGTAGCTAACATCTGATGAAGAATAAAACAAATTTAAGTGTAGCTCTAATCCGTGCCTCCAGATATATATATACACAATAACATTTATATACACACGATTACATTTCAATCTGTAATCCAACAGCCCCATTGGCTCTCCAGACCAACGTCATCGAGCGGCGCGTGCCTCAGAAAGGAATCCGTGGCCTGGTTTTGATCTCCTGGGTCTCATCAGCAGAGTCCAAAATGTGTTGAAAAAAAAATGCTTCTGGATGACCAGATGGTCTTGGCAACATGTCAGCACTCACCGCCACCAACCCCCCCCCCCCCCCCCCCATTCAACGCCAAGATAAAATGTGTGTGTGTCACGTGACACTTGGTGTGCTGGTTTGACAAGCAGACCAAGACCAACAAGAGTTCAAAGGAAATAAAAAAACAACTGATAGATGCTCTTCACTTAAGCACCCGAGTACTGTGACTGCCTGGTGGTGCATTTCAAAGGAAACGAAATTGAACCACGAGGCAAACAAAAAGAGTAATTAAAGCAGTCATCAAATAAGTGCCGTAAATAGGAAGGGCCAATGGACAAACTGTAAGCCCAGCTAAGCTTCAAAGCAAATAAACAAAAGGCATGAATGAATAATTAATGAGCGGCTTGAAAACAACCAAAACACTTTACTCAATGAGCGATATATAATGCGTACGAGCATATTCCTGTAGAAACTTGCCGAGTTTTATGGTTGTTATACGCGCAGTTTATACGGACGGCTTGTGGCAATACAATTTGGTAATCGAGCAGCATTTGTTCAACCAATGCTTGGCTGTGCTGATGAGACCAAGGAGATCGAAACCAGACCAGAGATTGATTTCTTAACGCAAACGCCGCTTGAGATGATGGTCGGTCTGTAAAGCCAATGTGGGCTGATGGGTTCAAAACGTAATTGTGTTTACGCGTTCATACAAACAAACAATACAGGTAGCTTTGTCATTGATTGTGAAAACCTGCAAAGGCAACCGTTGGCAATCGCAGCTTCAGGCCGGTGGAGTGTGGGGTCCGCTGCAAAGGGGCTAGCGCCGCCGTGTGCGTAATGACCTTTTAAAATCCGCCACTCAGATCAAACAGTGGCCAGCTGACACACAACTTCGTCATAAATAGCAGCAGCAGCAGCAGTGACGGCTGCGGCGGCGGCGGCACACAGTACGTATATTTAACAGGACATGAGTAGCCGTTGCGTCAATCCAAAGTCAGCTTTTGGGGGGGGGGGGGCACATGTTTGGGCAAAGCCTGCTTGATGTAGACCCACTGATTAACTGAGCGGGAAAAAAAGCTGTCAAATTGATAAGACTCCAACGTAGCAAGAAGACAAGTTTTTCTTTTAACACCCGTGTTTGACAATGACGTGTGAGCTGAAATATTACGATACCGCATTGGCAGTGATGCACAAGGGCAAATAACAAACAACTCAACACATTCATCAATAACACTGTCACCATCAAAATAAACCAATATTTCCGAAAGTAATAGAAGACGTTTAAGGCAATAGCCCTTTTTCACAGCAGAGAGATATATCTTCAACGAGAAGGCACTGTTTTTTTTCCTCTGCTTTGTGAAGCAGCTTGCCAAAATCATTGCTTCGAAAATAATGGGTCCTCGGCATGAGGGGTACAGTGATACCAATGCATCAATTACACCACTGTGACTAACAAAAATCATCCATTTTTTGTAAACCGACTTAGCAAAAGGAGTAAATTGCAATAAGTACGTGTATATATATTTAAAAAAAAACTCATCAGTACAACAGAGCTCCCTTTTATCCACAGTGACACATCGTACACCCCATTATCTGTGGGGTCATCCGTAATTTTACTCCACTTCTCCGTGGGGGGAAAAAAAAAAGCGATTAGTCGCAGACAACGGAATGAATTTGCCAATAGGAAGGCGTTTTGCAAATGCAGGACAGGAAAATCACGGATGTTCCGGAAGAAAAGGGCCACACATAATCTGAGTTTTCGCAGACTCTGTGAATCAGAGGAGCTCTCCTGTACTGCATGTTGTGCTCCGGCCTGTGTAGCTTGGCGGTGGAGCGAGCGGCTCGCAATCAGAACGCTGCACGTTTAAAATCCTGGCTGGAAGTTGACTCAGCCCATCATCCCTCTGGGGTCAATACAATAAGCACAACTTTATTGGGAAAGACAACTGTCTTTGTCCTATGCCTCCGCCCTAGGGATGAGGAATTTCCGCCACTGGCTCAAGGGCTGTAAACAGGAGATGAGTACCACCCGAATGGTCATTTTGAGCACGAAATCAAGTTAGATTTTTTTCATGGCCTCCCCTAAACAAAGGCGGCTATTGCGGCGTTTGCTCCCATTGGGACGTGACGGTGAGGAGCAGGAGAGGAGCAGCCTCACCACTTGGTAGTGTCCATTCTGCACGGAGAGGTGCAGTGGGATCTGCCCGTCGCCAGACTGCAGGTTCACGGACGAGCCGGCCTTGAGAAGAATCCGCAAAGGCTCCACCTTTCCCTGCCAGGCCGCGTAGTGCAGAGGCCTGAGGCCTGTTGTGAGAATAACGACAAATGGTGACAATAACAAACAAAAAAACAACACGAAAAAACACACACACACTTACAGGAATGCACATTTCTACCCATCACGTGTCGCCCTGGCAGATGCCTTCCGACGTTTGCAATCTCGTGCTGCGATTACGGAGAATCCTGTGCAACCGCTCGCGTTGTCCCATCGATGGATCCATTTCCTTCTTCTTCCCCTAACTTCCTTTCCACACATTTGCCGATAACCAAGTCGCATTAAAACGCGCCCAATCTCGTTAGAGCTCAAGAGGGTAAGCGTGGTTGTGGTTGAGGCTGGTTAGGACTCATATTGGAGTTTGCTGTGGAATGCCAAGTGTTGTTGGCTTGGACTGTGAGCAGATCAGGAAATGGGAATACAGAAATATTTGTTTTTCTTCTATTCGTGTGGAGATTTGAGTGTTATCGCCAGGCATGCATGGGTTTTATTTGGGCACTCCAGTTTCCATCCACATCCATAATATCGGACAACCGTCGCAATGTGGGGCCCACCTGAAATGAGTTTTGAGATTCAGGCGCTCCTGAATGAAGAAAGGGCATTTTCTAAAAATGATTTTACAGTTTATTCATATATATACAGGTATATACATAGGCGGCAAATATACTGTGCCTACATGCACAGGGGCATGCTGTGATACAGTGCTTTAAAGTCGCCCTTACAAAATCGACAAAAGCACCCCTTCTCATTGTAAATGCTTTTTAAAATATATATATTTTTTTCTTCGTATCATCCATATATATGTGCATATACAAAATCGTGTCTTTTTCAAATCGGAGGGGTATAGAAAATACTGTAATAAACCGACATGGTACCTTTGTTATCTTTCATGTCCACGTGGGCCTGGGCCTCCAGAAGAAGGTTCATTATCTCCGTATTCCCATTGAGGGCTGCATGATGGAGGGCGGAAAACCTGCACGAAAAAACACGAACGCCGTGTGTCACGGACGTCAGCCCTCGAATACTGTGATACACAAACTTTGATGATTTGATGAACTGTGGTCGTGTGGATTTTGCTCCGGGTCCTCCGGTTTTTTCCCCCCCCTCCACGTTTGTAAATATGCTTTGAGTGTATTTGGCTGCTATTATGGGCCACTTCGTTGAGCTATCATTTGTGGCCAGGTCGCTTCTGAAAAAGAGCTATATACCTTAGTGGGCCTTACCTGGCAAAATAAAAAAAATAGTTTGGTTAGTTCAATTGCTTTTTGTTATTTAGTTTGTTGTCCTTCCCCCCGCACCTCCGATAAACACGATTGCCTACTTATAGTGCGAAAAAAGTTCAACGTACATAGATATATTTCAGAAATGGGTAGGGGGTAAAAAAAAAAAATCAACCCACGATGATGACTGTTATCCTGTGGCCTATCAGTTGTGATGAGCACAGAGGGATTTTTTTTTTTAAATATCTGGCAGGCTGTTGTTAGGGCCGTTCTACACAGCCGTGCTGTGTATCGTCGTCGTCGCTGCTTGTGTGTTTGTGTGCTGCAAAATCTGCAGCACACAACGACGACAATTTAATATTGGTAATGGGAATAATTAGTTTTCCATATAGCACCTAATGCGCTGGGGCGTCTGAGAGTGCTCTGCATCACATCTCACCTCTCGGGGTGGCAACTCTCCGCGTGCAGCACAAAGTGACTCGGGTTTTAGTTTTGCAAGTAGGAGCCGATGATTCTGATGTTTCATTCCAAAAAAATTCCCCCACAAATGTATCAAATTGTCCAATTCGAATCTCCAACAGTATGCAGAAAAATATTTTCACAAATTACCAACCATGTGCGATCATCGATCAATATTCCTGATGAGACTAAAAAAGTGATCCAGCAATTATTTATCGTTCAAATCACACGCAGGACCTGTATTGTGCATGTTAGGGGAGTAATAATAGATCGATCCGTCAATTAACGTCTCATCCGAAGCTCGCAATACGTGCATCGAATCGCGTGCGCGAGAACTCCTGTATGTTCTTGGATTCATGAAATCATGGCTTTCAAGTGACCCAAACAACCACGAGGGCCCCGCTACATTCACAACAATGTAAAAACAAAAATACACTACAATCGATTCCTGACTTGACTTGTGATCCGTAATCATGACTATTCACAACTTACGTAGCCAACCGCACTCATCGGAGGCGACTCGTGAGAGGAGAAGGAGCTGGGGGATGTGAATCGTTAACAGCCCGAGTGCGCGCGGCACGCTACAAAAGTTTGATGCAGATTCCTTTTAATGCCATCGTCACTTAACTTGGCCCCATTTTTTGGTCGCACAGTTTACGGTGGAACTGCTCCGCTGGCCACCCAAACACCACCCACTCGTTCACTCGCCACCTCCGTTCTTACGACACCTCCGATTAGCACGGTTGGCTACATACGGTTCGAAAGAAGTTCAACAATACATACATTCAACTTACATTTTCACTAACACACATTTTTTAAGTGTTTTTGTGTTTCTCTGTGACCCGTTGTTTTTGGAAGTATCAAGACAATGAAAAACATTGCAGGCTTTATGCTTTTCGGCCAGAATATAGGTGTCAAGATGTTCAAACACTAAATAGACATCCAAACAAGAAGGTATCGTGTCCACATTAACCCCACATGCCTGTGGTAAAATGTCTTTTGTATTTGAGTCTTTCTGCAGTTGTGCCCTTGGAGTATGCTGCACATTTGTATGTTTAATAAAACTTTGCTTTCAGGGACCGAAAACCGCACATTAGAGAGCTATCAACGCGCAGGGTCATATGCGTAGGTACAGTTATTCAGAGCAAAGCCTCTGTATTTGAGAATGTGTTTTGGATCAATCCAACGAGTCCAAAGAATGTGGACTAAATATTAAATTTTGGTCAATGCAGAATAAAAAGTAAAAATGTGGATTGATGAAAAAAACATTTTGACATTGTGGGAAGCGAGATCACTCCTATCACGTCACTTCTGTGCTTTTCTTGCCAAAAGTGCCGTCGTTTTTGCCGATGTGTGGCGGAACTTTTGTTTAAATTATTCAAATAAACTTGACATTTGTGTTTCATGAGAACCGTAGTCTTACTGATGGAACTTTGCGTGAAAAAAACATGAATCCAACGATGAATGCGATCCAAGTTTACGACGTCTATATAACGACACCGTCGATCGATTGACGAAGCAGAAACCTGATTTAAGATGCATCTTCTGACACGACTCTGAACACGTTTGAACAGAGTCAGTCTGAATTTTGATTTAAAGCGTTCGTGACTGCAGGGATTCATATTCTTGGTTCTTTCGGTAAAGTCACCACGTAGAAGGGAAACAATAAAATAATAAAAATATAAAACAATAAAATTCTCACGACGTTTCGACTGCAACACAAGCAATCATCATCAGGTGTGAAAACCACCGCAACAAATTTTGAAAAAGTGGCGGTTATTTTAAACGTTAGCACCACGGAGAGCGATTTGTCAGTTTGTTCAGATGGACGAGTCCATCTATGTTCGGAAAAGAGGAGGGGGGAGACGAAAATAATGGATGCGGCCTGAAAGCCACCGTAAGCGTGAACAATCAATTATTTCATTTTGTCCCGAAACTATTTATTTAAAAATGCTATACATGCAAATCGAAAGTGAGATTAAAGTAAAAAAATAGTCGGACATCCAAAAACATTTAAATCTGAAAACGTTTATACTCTCTCTCTCTCAACGTGGGACTCTCTTTACAGATGATTATCTGCCGGGACACCCACGAGGTTTGGCGCACACTCCTCTCTCGCACTCTCGCATGCACGGCGTGAAGGGGAACATCTCCCGCTTGGGCACGGGGAGACACGACAGGAACACCTCCCGTCCAACGATCGGCGGCAAACTTTGAATTCCACTCTGCGAGCGCGAATGCTATCTGCGCTGCTTTCAAACGTTGTTAATTCAGACATTGAGCTCCCGTCTGCTGATCTGCACACTTACCGAAGAGACATTTGTTTCACGGTTTTTTCCACCTGCGCGTTTTTGCAAGCCAATGTGATGACCCCCCTGTCTGTTTGTGAGTGCATTATCATCATTGTCTAAGTCAACGTAACCCCATGCAATGTCAATTACTTTGACATCCATTTCTACATCTCTTGCTCAAATATTGACTGGCCAATAGTGGTTACATAAGCATACCTATTAGGAATTTAGTATCGTACAATATTGTATATTTCGATTTTTGGACTGTATATGCCAGCACAAAAATGGCTGCCTCATGTATGTATGCTGAACTTCTTTCGCGCCATACGAAGCCAGCCGTGATAATCGGAGGTGCGAGAGAAGGACAACCATCTAAACACAAAAAGCAGTTCTAAACAAAACGAGTTTTCAAATCCAGATTATTTAAAAGTGCAAAGCTCCAGTGGCTTCGTAATATCGAAAGGAAGAGTGTTCCAGACGGCCGCAGAAGAGCATCTGAAAGCACACGAAATGTGAAGAATGCCACGTGGTCTTTCACGTCCATGGCAGCTCCGGAAGCACCATCAATCCCCAATGGAAGCACCACGTGGCTGTGAGAGCTGAACTCGACCTTTTAACTGGTTCAGTGGCAAGCGCGCGCTAACCTAGATTACCCACGACATCTCAATCCCCGCTCTGCAAATGCACGTTGATGCAGGAAGCCCAGGCATACGGATAAGATGACAACAAGTGAAGATTTAATCTGTTCTGTGGGCATCAATCATCTGTGATGGTGTTCTTTGAAGATCAACAGGGAAGATGACATTAAGTCTGAAATTTAACACCCCGCAATCATCGCCATTATCGGCCAAGGACAATCCACTGGTGGATGAAGGCCTCCAGGCTCCCGATCCTGCGATGTAATAATCCCACTATGAATTTATACAATTTCGTACGTAGACTTTCATGACCCATATTATAATAAATAAGTTTATTTCGTGTAAAATCATGTAGGGTATCATGTAAAAAAGTTACCAAAAATTTTACAAAATTGTGAATGTGTTATCTACTATCTCGGAAGCAGATACCGATTTTAACAATTGGTCTTGCTTATCAACATTCCGGTTTTGCTGATGAACCTAATCAATTGGCATATTTGCCCACGTGACAACTTGATTTGATTGGCTTTGTAAGGTAGTGGAGGGTTATAGTTCTTAAAATATATATACATTATACCACTACAATATAATCCAAATTAAACGAATGATGATTTGATACAATTGTCTACCAGATCGAACTCACCTCGCCCATGCAATTACTGCTCTGTATCATTAATGCAAATATTCATAAGTATTGTAATGAATTGTAATACGAATGAGGGTGATTGACATCCAAGAAAAAACTCATATATCACAAATTCATTATATCTTGCTGTGGAAGTATTATGGGTAAAAGTATAAATCCGTCCTGCGTCTCGTGGTATAAGTAAAATATGTTTTAGTTCATTGAACAGATGGATTTTCAGACCGACATTATCTCGCGATAATTTAATTTAATAAAAACTTCCGACAACGATGTTGACATTCAGTGTCTCATCAGCAGTCAGGCTCGCTTGAAACTATTTTGGCGAGCTGCCAGAGGCTTAAGAGCAAGAACACATCTGTTAGATATGGGTCCCAGTTCAACGCAAAACGATAACATACATCACACAAAATAAACACCTTGCAGTTCACCTGCATTGCTTCATGCAAGCCTGACTGCTGATGAGACACTGAGTATGCTTCTATTGCACCGATGTGGCTACAACCACGCATTCCCAGAAGGCTGTGTGGCTCACAGGATGTCTAAAAAAAAGACTTTTTTTACGTGGAGGGATGGATACGCAAAGGGGGCATCGTGTCTCCTTATTTATTTTGTTATGAAAATATCTTGAAATGCTGCATATGATGAATAGATGCCCTAGGCTGTGATGTTCTGATGCACAGTCCAACCAACCCTAGCTGAGAGACTCTCCCCCCAATAGA